ATAACATAACATAACATTACAATACATTACATTACATTACAATCTATTACATTGCATTGCCTTGCCTTGCCTTGCCTTGCCTTGCCTTGCCTTGCCTTGCCTTGCCTTGCCTTGCCTTGCCTTGCCTTACCTTACCTTACCTTTACCTTTACCTTTACCTTTACCTTTACCTTTACCTTCACCTTACCTTACCATACCTGACCTTACCGACCTACCTACCCACCTTCCTACCTTACCTACCCACCTACCTCCCTCCCTGCATGCATACATACATACATAATTACAGACATTCATACGTTACATATAGACATACATACATTCATACATCCACACATCCATGCATCCGTCCATACATCCATCCATACATGCATACACACGCGCACCATAAACACACCCAAACATGCATGCATGCATATATGTACATATGTAAATAATATACATATACACCCGTATACAATCAATACATATATATATATATATACATACACACACACATATAAATGTGTATATATATGTATATAGACACATATTTCCACAATTGTACATGGGAACCTGCAAATGGTGTCGACTGAAACTGATTGTGTATGTATGCATTGCATACTACATGCATGTATGCACATACTGCTACGAACTTTAGGTCTTTAGCAACATTACCCTAAACCCCTAGACCCTAAACCCAAAGAAACTCAAGTTTGTAAGCGAGGACTCAAGGCATCCTGGGCATTCGTCTGCCTAGGCCTCCCAAGCCGGATGATGCCCAGCCGAGGCACGTCGTGCGCTCCTACACTATATAGACTTTCTTTCTCTCTCTCTCTCTCTCTCTCTCTCTCCCTCCCTATATATTCATATATATATATATATATATGTATGCACACGTTGTATGTAAAGATATTTACTTGTTCATATATTTATTCACTTACTTATTCATTTACCAGGGCGCATATGGGTTCGCAGTGGGATATCGTTCTACGGTTTGTTAGGTTCCTGTTGCACGAAGGATTTTGTAGGGTGTTTCAAGGTTGGTTCGGCTTCTGGGCTTGGGTTACACAGCAGCTCAGCTTTTTCCGGATGTCCAGAGATTCATCGCAAATGTTGTGAGGAATGAGGTTCTGGCAATCCATGTATGCAATCAGCATTCTTTGCTGGCGCATGGCTGTCATGGTTTCCTGCTGAGCGTCTTACATGGCTGTTCGAACTGACTAGTGCGTTCCAGTTTGTTGTTTGTGTAGACTTGAACAAGGCCAAGGAGCCAACCCATAGAGTGAGAGCGAGGCGACACCTAAACCTCGTGCTTGCAGCTTTCCCGAACAATGTTTTTTTGAATAGTCGTGCTTCCTGGCAGAAGTGGCGAACTCTTTTTAGATAGCCTGTGATGGTTTCGCTGGGGATTTACGCCCAAAACAGATTGCAGAATTGAGCTTGAAACGTGGAACCTTAAGCCCAATAGCCCACAAATGACTCTTGCCCCCCAAAGAAGGCGCCAACAACACTATACAGACCATAAAGATACATCAATAAATAAATAAATATAAATATATATATATATATATATATATGTATGTGTATATACACATCTGCACACATTTTAAGTGCGAATATACTTGTTTATATCTTGCCTCCCAAAGCTCTCCGGGGGCTCAGGCCGCCGGCGATGGACCCGCACGGTTCGGCAAGGACCGGGAGGGGTTTGTCGAAGGTTCGAGACCTGTAGATATATAACATGGGCATACATGTAAGTAGATGTGCAGGTGTGCATACAATGAGATATATATATATATATATATTATTTATTTATTTGTTTATACTTGTTTGATTATTTTGTTCATCTATTTACTTATTTATACTTTGGTTGGGAGTCTTATGATCACACTACATGTCGCATTCAGAAGTCATGCCGCTGCTCGTTGATAACGGTGATGATGCATGTGATGGGATGACGATGCTGGTGATCATGTTGGCGACCCGGGTGAGGGCAATGGCAATGATGGCAATGGCAAGGAAGGTCTTGCTGGTACAAATGACAGGAAGGAAGAAGTGAGCCATGCGGAAACCTTTTCATGCCAGCAATAACTTCTGAGTTTGCATGTCGAGGGCGCCCCTAAGCCCAGGAAGCTCTCGCATGGACGATCCCTGTCCTACTATAGGCCACATATATTCCTTGCATCGAACCAAGTTCCACACACAGTTGCACGCCAGACCCGTTTCGATCCACATTGCGCCAGTCCTACCCTCACCCTGCTTCAAGTGCCTCATGGACGCAGGGAGATGAGTCAGAGCACCCAGGCCAACGAGCTCCGCCGGTGACCAAGGCTGTTGATGACCCTAATAGCCAAGGCTGTTGGACTCGGTAGGCCTCTTTTGTGGCTGTGCGGGGTCTGTGCGTCTGTGTGTATTCAGTGCATTCGGTCATGCTCTTGAAGTGTGTGATTCAGGAGGTGCGGCTACAGTTGGTCTGTTTAACCTCTTGTGCCAGTCCGTGACGCGCAAGGTCACCACGATTCGCTGTGCCAAGGTGCATCTCAATCAGCTCCAGTATTGGAGAAGAAGGATGCAGGCACGATGCTTGCTTGGGTGACACTGCAGTCCCCGGGAAGATTGCATCAGACGAATGCTGTGCAGATCCCGCATCGAGTTGCGCAAACAGCGAATACTACTGCTATAACAGTAAGGACTCGTGCCGTTGCTGCACCCACTATGCTTGTTGTATGGCTCCGATCAGTATGTTGTGAATCCCAGAAAGCTGGAACATGGGTTTGGGATGATTAGTGCTCGGATTCCGGATCTCCTATACTTTACCTCGACTTGCTGGCTTCTACTTTGAGTCTCGGCTACGGTATGTCTTGTTGCCCACGTGCCAGTCCCCTTCGTCGTGCTGGAAGATCTTGCCTTCGTAGCTATCCTTTTCATGCGTACAGCACTTCTACAACACTACTTCTGGGAGCCCAGAACCAACGATTTGCTTCAGGCAAGAACTACGCCGGCGTCGTGCGTAATGGAAAGCCCGAGCCTCGTTGCCCCTACTCGGCTTGAGGCTTGTGCACCACACGCTCGGCTGCTGCCTCCTGTGGCCTATGAGGGCTTGTTTTCGGAACTGTGCATGCTGAGGTTCGAGAGGAAGAAGGTGGACACGGTTGAGGCCTTGTCTTACTGTCGCAATCGGTCCACACCTGAAGAGACACGTGCCCGCATGCCTTCGCCCAACTTCGCGTGCCGTGCATCCCAAGATCGTACTTGCTATTGGTAGTCCCTTGAGTCCCAATCCATCTTCCAACATTCCTCCGTCCTACATGCTACATGACACCCCAAGCAGAAATAACATCGATGAAGGCGCTAAGCAAGGAGGAGCGGGAGGCCATCTTGGCCGACATGGAGGAGGAGAAAAAGAAGAAGATGCAGGACTCCCGCAGTCGGATGCACTCCGGTCTTCTGGCTTAAGTAGACTAGAAATGGCAACATCGAACCCCCTTGTCTGTGCTCTGCACTACAGAGATGCGACACACTTATGACCTGAAGAAATCGGTCAGCTGGTGTCCTAAAGGGTGCCACCTTTGTACCCTGCTATCCCACATCCTCAACCCTGAGCACCAAGCAATCGCAAGCTAAAGCCCCGAATTCCATGACACATCTCCGATGGATCACCTGGAGAACTGCTGGTTCGTGGGTTCAGGGTTTGCGTCTAGGACTCTGCCCCTAAGGCCCCAAGGTACCGTAGGTAGTTCAAAAGGAGCTTCTGGCTTGGCTTGAAACCCATTCTTTCGAGTCTGCGGTCTGTACCTTCGTTTGATGCGGATGCCTTGTTTTCGAAGTCGGGTGTGGTAGTTCTCTAAATTAGGGTCCCTTTTTAGGTCCCCAATATAGTACGGCACCCTTATAAAAAGGACCCTAAAAGGGGCCCTAATTTTGAAAACTAGGTCTGATTTGAGGCGTGGCATAGTGCTTGCAGGTGTAGCAGCTCTTGAAGACAAGAAGTTAGCAACAAATCTTTCTGGCCAGAGGTCACTACAGCAAATAATAGCGAATATGATTATCTACTTCCACTTCCTGCCATCCTTGGCCTCTCAAAGAGACCCTGAAAACCTGTGATCTTTGTAGCTAACCATATCAGAAATGAGGGGCCGCATGATGCCTTCACTGCCATGGCAGGCGATTGCAGACAAGATGAAGCAGCAGGTCAAGAGGACAGCTTTTGCTGGCGCATGAGACTCGAGCAGATTGACGTGTGTAATCGACTCTGCTTGAGCCACGGATTATATAGTGCGGTCGGGTCCAACACATGGCCGGGCTTTATCAGTGCAAAAGTGTGGGGAATTCGGGAGCTTCTGAGTCTGTTCGTACTTGGTGTGCTCAGAGACTTTGGGTTGCTTGCTCCAAATGGAAGCCTGTACGTAGAAGGCACCATGCTTTGATGGGCTTGTGGTGTGTGGCTTGCCATCATAGTTATTTGTGAGCCTCGAGTTTGAACCTTACATGCTGGTACTGTACCGTCGTGTAGCTGCACTGGACGCATGCAGATGTTGGTTGCGGTCTCAGAGCACGATGACGTTGGATCCTGCACTTTCGAAAATCCCGACCTCACACCCCAATCTGCTTCAAGGAATTCAAATGTCGTGACAGCCATATCATTTAAATGGGAACTCTCCATTTGTGGAGCGTTGGCAGTATAGGGACTTCTCCAAACCATTGCACGCGGCCGTGTCTTGGAATGTGATGATCTTGTCTCTGTTTTGAGTCTTGGGCCTTCCGGATGAGGTGTCCCGGTTGATTTGATGGCGAGTGCCAGATGCAGGAAGAAGAAGCAGCAGCAAGATGAGGAGACCAGGAAAAGGCGTGTCGGGAAAGGAAGAGCTTAAGAAGGGCGAGACAAGGGAACAAGTTAGTGGTTCGACCCGGTTGTTGAGTCCTCCTTAAGCAGCATAGACCTGTTTCAAGCTATAGACGGGTCCAGCCTCAATAGCCAATGTCTTGTCAAGAACAAGTTGGCTTGCTGTTCAAGAGCCTGGATTGTCTGGTCCTTTTTTGTGAAAGAAAGGGGAGACTGCTAAGATTCGCATCGGAATGTGTCTGCGACGGCTCAGGACAGGCTCCGGAAGCACGTTAGGCCTAGAAAGCCCAAGCGGTTCCCTTCCATCAGGGTCCAGATGGAAGAGGTAGAAGCACTCGAAGAGGAGAGACGGAAGCAGAAGGCACCTTGGCTGTTAGGTCTGCCAGGTTTGCAAGGGAGGTACCTCATTGGCCTGACTTTGGGGAGCTACTCAGATGCTTCAGGCGTCTGGGGTTGGGGGCTTCTAAGGTCCTTGAGTCAGGGGTGCAGCTAGGCCTCGGGAAATTCGGCATTGGGCCCAAACTTTGGTTGTCACGATAACCCGACGGTTCGAAGATCTGAGCTCCTGGCAAAATTCAGGTGAAAGAGCTGAAGAACTGGCTTCGACAGCTCCGGCCCCAGATGACGGCGTGTCCAAGCTCCAAGACAGAAGTGATAAAAACACAGACCTGGAATAGAAGCGGGATCATTTCTTTTGGGCTGGGCCCTCTCGGAACTTGAAAGAGTGCAGGGTCGCAGGTGCTGTAAATTTCCTGTCCAATTGGCTCAGCACGATTTCGCGACAGCCCACCGCCGCTGCAATAAGGAAAGAGGAGCAAGATCGGGCAAAGAAGGCTGCATGTGAGCACGGAAGTCGACGTTCATGCCGCGGTGATGCGATTTGCCGCTGTTGCCGTCTCTTTTTCGGAGGAAAGAGATGCAGCCATGGTGCTTCAGATGCAAGAGGAGGACCCGGCTTTTAGTTTGAAGCCTTATAATAAGATCGCTCCCTGCTAGACTGCTGTAGACTCTAACAGAACTCTTCGAATCCTGACCGTGGATGTTTGGACCATGTTTCAATCTTCGGGATGTGGCTGCCGTAGTGAGAATGCTGATATTGAGTTGCCATTGTTGATTTTTTGTTTTTCATATGTACATACCCAAACGATGCTTCTTATGATGCCTGATTCAGGGCTTTTCCGTCAGTCCTGAGGCTGTTGAAGCCGCAACGAAGCCTAATGGTCTATTTCACAAGGATTCATGCGCGACGTGAACAGTCTAAGCTGGAGCATCGTTGAGTAGGAGCAATCCGCACTGCTCCCTGCAGTCCCTCGAACTTCTCCGCAACAACACACAGCAAAGCTGGTCTCACACCCTCAAAGCCCCCAAGCCCGACAGCCCTAGGCGGCAAACCCCAAGGAAAGCTCACAAATCACCCAAAGCCCGTAACAAGGAGGTCCAAAAGGCCGAACAGCAGAAGTTGCTGGAGCAGCAAAGGCCAGGGAGCCGGGCTTCGGTGTGTTATAATTCCGTGTTGGGTTTTTAGGAAATTTTAGGATTCAGGGTTTGTGGGGTTTGGTTTAGCTGGATTGGGATGTGTTCAGGGTTAAGACATGCTGAAACTTGCCTAAACCTTGCCTGCCACATGTTCACAGCAGCTGTAGCTTTCGACACTGTCACTAGCTACGCGTCTATAAGAATCCCAATCCGTAGCCCTCGAGCCCTAAACCCCGGTGAGCCTCTCGCTTGGGCACTGTGCAGGGATGGAGGCTCGGCATGTTTAGACTGTTGTAAGGGGGCAGGACTTCCAATGATGACGACCTACCCATGAGCTTCTGGTTTCAAGTCCTTGACATATGCCCTTAGCGACCCGGATCCATGTGATTTCAACCAGGCTTTCATAGCCTAGTCATAGATTATCGTGAATTTTTGTGCAGTACATATTCCTTTAGTATCTTCACCCAAAACCCAAAAACCTCGACTGCAGCATCCTATCGTAGACTGCTGTAGTTTTTATAAGGGAGCTCTCCGGAAGCCCCCTGACTTCGCTAGCCGAAGACCGAGGCAGGAGCAGCGAGATCGTCGGCTCCAGGCGGTGGCCAAACAGAAGGTGCTATGCCCTGGAGTTCAGGGTGAAAAAGTAGAAGGGTTTTGGGTTTGCGGGTTTTCAAGCTTATCACGTTCAGGGTGCATCGACTCGCTTATCCGTCATTGTTGTGTGTGTGTGTGTGTTTGTGGTTTTGCGCGTGTTGAGGGGGCGCGGGTGGGCGAGGGGGAGGGTAGTTAAGCACACTATTCTCAGAACAGTTTCGCCTATGCTAAACATGTGCTCCAATCCTTACAGCGCCGGCCCGAACGTCCGACAGTAAACTCTATACCTGTACCTTTTGTCGCTGATAAGAGAACGTGTAAACGCCCTGCTTCCCAATCAACACCTAATTCACAAATCCCAGAAAACCTAAACCTAAACCAGAGAATCCTCACTAAACCTTAAATTTCCTGAATCAATGAGTTCTCCAAGTTAAAGGCAAATAGATGTTGGCAGGCGAAGCTGGAAGCGCAGCTACGAGCCTCCCGCGAGGCTGCGGGAAGCTTCGAATCAAAGCTACCTGTGTGTGTGTGTGTGTATGTATGTATGTACATACAGACATACCTACCTACCTACCTACCTACCTACCTACCTACCTACCTACCTACCTACCTACCTACCTACCTACCTACCTACCTACCTACCATCCTGCCTACATACACAGATACATACGTATATACAAACATAACAGAATGGAGCGGAACCGAACTGAACAGAACGGAACATAGCATACATGGCATGGCATAGCATAGCATAGCAGCATAGCATAACACAACACAACATAACATATCCCAACATAGCAGGCGTATTGTATCATACGTGCATACATAACTAATTAATATGTTAGTCATATATCTATCTATCTATCTATCTATCTATCTTTCTTTCTATCTATCTAGCTATCTATCTATCTATCTATCTATCTATCTATCTATCTTGCATGGCAAAGCATGTATACATATATACAGGAATATACATATATACATGTACATTCATACACACACACACATATACATATACACATACGTACATGTATGCAGGTTGAGGGTTCGCATATAGGGTTTAATGGTGTGCGTTGTATGCAGGCATGTATAGAGGGTGTATGAGTTAAAAAGGGGACCTTGGGTTCAGGGTGCAAGGCCAAGGGTTGAGGGCTTGTGTTTCAGAGGCTTTGTGGTGCCTTGGAAGTTGGATTAGCTGCGGCGTGTGAAGTCGATACTGAGCTAACAAGTGCTGGCTGAGCGGTCTAAGACTTCACTTGTTATGCCACGATCCTCAATTTTCCAGTGGATCTGGGGTTCAGGGCTTTGGGACTTGGCTAATTGTGTAGCACGGATGCACCTTGAGGTCCTTGAGGAATTTCCGCCCGGAAGCCCAACCTTCAGGCCGCGCAGCAGGAGAAGCTCAACGCCTCCCAAAGGGAGCAGGCAGAGGGCGCACAGCAGGACCTGTTTGCATCAGTTGGGAATTTATGCACGCTGTGAGCCAAAGGACCGCGGATTTCTGCTGCTGCCATTGAACGCGATCGGATTGTACCAAGCCAGGTTTTTGCGGATTCGAACCAATCAGAACTGGAGTCATCATGATTGAAATCAGGCTCGTTACTTTGCTCGCCAGCTCTGAAGCCGTGTGCCTATGGTCCAAGTGGCATGCATTGTTTGATTCTGTGTAGATCACCCTGTCCTTCTTTCATGCGGCAGGACGGCACGGGAGTCCCTGAGGAGGAGCCCCGCGTGCGAAAGCCACTCGGCACCCACGTTCGCAGCCCTTCTGCCATACAGTACATCAAACACTCATCACACCTTTCAGTCCGGCTGCTTTTGAATCGATCCACGGCCTTCGTCTCTTGCGACCCTGGCTGCTGCATAGTGCAGAGTCAAGACTCAATCAAGGTATAGCAAAGCAGCGCGCGGAAGACTTGTCGGGATCACCCCTGAACGACGTGACGTGATTGTCCAACATTAGATATTAACGCCGACATCAATTCAACTACTGAGCTCCCCAAACCATAACTACCGCCCCACAGGCCAACACCAATCCAAGTACCAGGACAATTTTGTCAACTCTGCACTAAGACCGGGACTCTGGACCGAACCGGAGAATATTCTTGGTTGCAGTCACGCATGCACTACACCTGCGTATGTACGGCTGATTACTGCCCTTGGCTGACCCCACGGCCCGCAACACACATACCTCCAGCCTCAAACCATATAAACCCGCACTGTCTGAGGATCCACGTTCAGAAGCAGACGGGTAAGGAGCAGATGGCCTATCCCACACATGCGCCGGGGCCCGGCGTCGGGCAGACAGCGGCACAGGCCACTGTTGCCTTGTCGAAGAGGTAGCTGCAGTTCTGATGCTCAAAGCCGATAATCCTTGAATCCTAAACCCTAAAACTTCCGTCTATCTTTCACCAGAGAAGCTAAAATCCCTGAACCCTGAAACTGCAGCCCAAGGAAATTAGCAGGCAGGACTCTGTATGGAAGCGATTTGGGTGTTTCGGGTCCTCTTTGTCAGAGGCTGGCCGAAGTGATTCACTGTGTTGGCATCCGTGCCGTGAGAAAGCTCCTGTGCTGTCATGCCGCCCTGCCGTGCAGCGCATCGTGCACCGCCACATCCACCACCACGTGCACTACCACGAGGTGCCGTATGTTTGCATGCAGCTTTGAGAGTACGGCTGTCATGTGTTGCTGACTGTTGCAGAGTGAATAACGTTTCGGATGTACTCGGACCGGCAAAGAGCAAGAGCAGCGCAAAAGAGTAAAGCCCTTGCGCCTTTCTCCACCGTGGTGACTGCCGTGCCGGGTCAGGGGGAGGGAGAAGCTCCCCTGCCTTCTGTGGAAGACCAGAGGCGGGTCAGCCGTCGGGGGCGTTTAGGGTTTAGGGTTTAGGGTTGATTGAATAAGTAAACCTGGGCTTTGGGCGCTTGGTCCATCTCTCGTGGTTGCATTTGCCGATGATTCCATTGTGGCAGCTCTGGAATTACATGGAGTTACACTGCAGAGCCTGATCAATGCCCTGCCTCGAATGGAAGCCCTCAAGTAAACCCAAATCCGTAACTTTTAATTTCAGCCCGAAACTCAGGCGCCACGAAAGGTTTTGAACCTCCGAATCGAAAGTCTTTGGCCAAAACGCGGCCATGCAGGCGAATAGAACAGGCCTCCGAAGATCGCGTGAAGAGGCAGCTGGAGGAGCAGGCCAGCTTTTCCTTTTCGACTTCATGATGGAGGAATCGAGGTCTCTTTGCACCGTTTATGAAGGCATTGTTGCGGCATGAAACCCACGATCAAGCTCACATGCGTGGTTCCGCATGCACCAATGTTCAGACATAACCATATACATATATAGGTGGCACATGCATGTGCATCTCCGTATCTATACAGACATACGAAGACAACGTCGAGACAGCATTGAGCCGCAAGGGGTTGCCTCCTGGCGTCGAGCCGCAAGCTTAGCTGGTCTGCAGAGTGCTGCTAAGACAGCACAGAGTTGCCGTGTTGGGCGATGGGAAGAGACTGTGGAACAGTTGAACAGTCCTTTTGGCTATGCCGTCAGATGATGGCCGTCCAATACGCCAGCCAAGACCAAGCACATGTGTCGTGTGATTTAGGCTTTAGCGTCTTAGATTTCAAGTCCTCGGCCGGGTCAGGATTGAGACCATGTCTGCGACTCTACAGATTCCAGAGAGACCCCTAGAGAAGTGCCACGGATGTGTGCATACTTGCGTCTGTCTTAAGATGTTTCAGGTTGCCAAGCGTGGATCCCACCGCTCCAACTCCGACGATGCAGCCCTGGCCCCAGCTCGGGTATTGCAAATCCTGGACCGTCGCCCCTAAGCGTCTAACTTTTACTTGAACTCCGATTTCAAACTGGCTATGGGATGTTTTTTGCCGCATGTGTCTCAGACGATAGGATACGTCAAGGATGCGACTTTTCAGCCTGCACTTCGCATCAGCCAGGTATGCCAGGTCTGCGCCAGCGCTGCACGGCCAGCTGGCACCCAAGTCTATGTCGCTGCTGCAGCGCTGGGATTCTGATAAATGGTCCATGACGAGTCCCTGATTACTTCCGGTGTCCAATTTCTGCGGGTCCTAGTGTCGTGTGTTGTGTCTGCTTGTGCCTATAGAGCCCTTACTGGAGATATTCTGAAAATGGAGAGTCATAGAAAGGCACATGCAGCAGAAAGACTGAAACCCGCAAATCTCTGTCTGAGGCTGCCCATGGAACTTTAAACCCTGTAAACTGTAAACATCTGTAAACCCAGTAACCCCGAAACCCTACAGGATGCATCCCTGTTTCACTGGTCAATACGCCCTCAGGCAGGGAACGCCGAACTTACAGATACTGCCTCAACGATTCTCTGTAACGGAGGAAGCAAAAGCAGACACTGTCCCTGAGCCGTAAGCCCGTGTTGCCGCACTGTTTCGGAAGATAATTCTGGCTGCCGTACGTTCGAAGAGGGTGCACTCCCGAAAGTCTCTCCGGGGTTCAGAACAATCGTCGTTTCTGTGGTTGAAGCACTGGCATCTTCAGAAGGTACCCGAGCACAGGAGGTATGTTTGGCCCAAGGTTCCAGCGCCTTTATGTCTTCACAGAGAGCAAGCCACCATTATCGAATGCTTGAAGTTCCCACTGTGAGGCAGAACGGCATGGACATCACGAAGACACAGGAGGCGGGGAAGCTTTCCCTTGATTCTGAACCCTGGACCCTAGCCCGAAAAACACCCCGAAGACACACACAGAGATATGATACACATATATCATATATATATATATGTTTATTTATTTATTTATTTATTTATTTATTTATGAATTTTAAAAAAGTATATCATATGTGACATTGGTGACATATGTATACATATATACATATACAGTTATATATATATATATAAAGTATCTAGGGCCGGCTGTGTTGGCTGTTGTTGAACTCTGCCAGAGTTTCGGACGTAGGTCGACTACTCAATTTCTACGTAGCTTGATCCTGAAGTCCTCTACTTCAAGCTCATGGGCTGCCTTGCCCA